AATTCGATGTTGTTTACTTACGGCCCTATGCTGAGCAAGTGGAGTCCAAGGGGAAAGAGCCGGGCATCGCACCACCTGGTCAGAGTCGACACCTGTGCAGGCTGGTGAGGACGGAGGGTGACCAAGCAGGAGCACCCTACAAGGATAACGACCTAGTTGACGCCATGATCGGCAATGTTCAGCGGGTGGCAGAGACTGACGTACGGGAAGTCTACGTGGATGGAGAGAGAGTAACGAAGGACAAGACAAAGCGGGTCTTCGACTGCAGTTTCCAGGCGGGAGTTGCAGTGAACAGAAAACCATAGCTGTACAGGGACGTTTAAACTTATAAGATTGATGTTAATACCTTGAAGGACCTTTTTTGTGTTGCCGAGTTCGACCTTCTAGGCATTTTAGCGTTAGGCGTCAATGTTTCTAAGAAAAGATCTCAGGTTTAAAGTCAAACCTGTAAAGGCTCTTACAAGGATAAGGTCTTAATGTTGTTTGACTAAAGTTTTATGAAAGAGTTTTTGTAAAAAAACCTTAGGTTTAAAATTTAACCTGTATAGGCTCTTGAGGATAGGGTCTTATTGTTGTTTTACCTAAAGTTTTATGAAAGAGATTTGTAGCCTTTTATTTTTGTATAAGAAAGCCTTACGTAGTTTTCTGAAGTTTAAAGACTTTTTGAAATTAGGTCAGTATTGTTCTTGTTTAAACAAACACCTAAGAGACTTTAGGACACCTTACTTAAGGCGCAATATTTCTTTTAAAGTTTTGCTAAGCTGAATGGTCAAGGGGACTGACCAGCCTTGAGGTGCGGCTGTGTAACGAAATATTGCTTCGCGCACTGGGCTTCCGTAGCTGCTGAGCGCTGGTGCGCAGGCTGCGTTCCGTGCGGCAGTGCGCGTCGCTGGTGCTCTGCGTGCAGTGTATATAAGCGCGCTGCACGTGCGTCGCGGGCGTCTTTCCGCTGCTTGCTCTTGCTCCGTGCGGACGAAAGCAAGTACGCTCTGCCGTTGCTCGCTGGCTGTTGGATTGGTGGGATTAGGCTGTACCCCGTGAACCCTAGTTGCGGGGTGAGTAGCTGCGTCTTAGGCTTATCGGTCCCGATGTCTATTGTAGTTACCCGATTGGTGATTGTTTGTGATTCTTAATTATAAAGTCCCCAAGAGATAATCATCATTGGTGTACGAATCAACCCTGTAATTAGCGCCTATATAGGAACCTGTGCATTACTTTGAATAAATCAACCAGTTCAAGTATATAAGCCTGGTGTGGTGCATAATCCTTGACGTGTCTACCCTTGTGTGGTGAGCGTGTGTGCGTGGTGTGCAGACCTAGGCGCCTGGAGGTAGACTTCCCCCAAACGAGTCCGCCCCTCAGGCCTCTGCGGTTACCGCTCGTCGTGGAGGCCGAAGCCCATTATTTAGTCAGCGGCAGACGCCGCCTGGTAAAGTCCGCTACAGTATTTTGAAAGCATTCTTAATAACCATATTGTGTGGTGTTCAATATATTCAAGTCCTTACGGACCTCACATGCATATGTACATGAACATTTGACATTTGCGTCAATTTTGTATTAGGACAGGGTGGGTGGTTGGCCCAATCACAACAAACTTCAATGATCATCTACAAAAGTGAACCTAACTAGCCGATAATACTTTACGGTACATGTCAAGCTGATTGTGTGTTTGGATTTGTTTTGTCAAACTACCATAGGGCAAGAGTTATAAATGGTCGGACCAAATGCACAGATCTTATCTTGGTTGGATTATAATCCTTTCCTGTTGCTCAGAAACAACAAAGTGTGCACTGCCTTAGCTTGGGGTAGTTCAGTATCCAGAGCGACATTTTGTGTGTGTGTGTGATTTGTGTAAACACACCATGAACTGTTTTTGCGTATACATGTGTGTACACTGAAACGATCAGCAGTTCAGAGGATATCTTGCAATTGAAGTTTTGATAAATCGGTTTTTGGATTTTTGTATTCAAATCAAATAGTAGGCCTATTGATCACTAAAGTAAATGAAGGTGGAATTAATTTCAGTGAATGTCATGTGACTCTTTACTAATTTAGATTTATTTTTAGGCAGTAAATGTCAGATGCCCAAGCTGTAAACCTGTGTTCAAATCTACACGGATGAACTTGTAGGCCTAACACATACCGGTAGACATGTGAGTGCAGTGTAAATGTACACGTAAAGGCATACAAAAGGGACCATTAGAAACTGCGTGGGTACAGAATACGTAAGCGGCTCCGAAAAACTTGCTGGTTATATTGCCATTTTGTGTGGTTTTTTCATCAAACCCATAATTTTGATGTGAAATACACATTGTCCACAGTGTGCCAGACGAGATAAGCAGCAAAATGGTGATTTAACAAGCAACTTTTTCTAAAATGCATACGTATCAGGTACACTTACCATTTCTAACATCCCCAATACTGTGGTGCCCTTTTCACACAAGAGCCTCTCAACCCGGGTTGAACTCAACCCTGGGCGAACCCAGTGCTGCCCCGGGTTGAGTTTTTGATTTTTCAACCCCGCATCGTTGCACACTTGTTTCATGCAAATCCCGCTTATAATGCTCAGTCACTACTGTTTTGAACCCTGGCAAGAATTTCAACCAGGGTTGTCTGGTGTGAAAAGGGCTACATGTACAGTGTCTGTAGTCTGTACATGGATACATGCACATGATCTTACTGTATGGCTGTATTTTACCATGGTATAAAAACTAAGGTAAGGAGCTTAAGTCAAGAATGAGTATCAACCACAAAAGCTTTGTCTAAGCCTGACAATTAGTGCTATAATCCTTGTTTATTGTACTTATGATGTTGACAGTGGGAAGTGTCTTTCATAATCTGTGTATTGATTCTTTACTCATTCCTGTTAATCCGTAAAGGTATCCAGGATGTAAAACCACAAGCTGACCAGTCATTATGTTCAACAATCATAACCATGCTACAAGTATAAAATTAGACAAAAATTTAATCCAATACGTGCACAAAACATGCATTCCCCAAATTCATGCAGAAATTTCATGAACAAATCTAGCAATGAACATGCAGCAATCTTTACTTTCTTGCATTCAACAAATATGGGGAGGAATGGTCTTTTCATGCAATTCTCAATTTCAAACGAGCAGTGTAGAAAAACTTGACTTTCTATTTTTGTGACGCACAAAACAGGCAATAGTCAATACCACAAAATGTCAATATGTTGATAGTGTCGTGTTAAATTGAGCACACTAGATAAAATTTACATCATCGGCTTGTTATGCATAGTTTAAATGTTTTTGACGTTCTGTAATATGCAGTCCATCCCTTATTAGTCACAGCTGTTAAATTAATTTTCCATTTTACTGACATCTTACTGTCAAGGACAAATTTCTGCGCACAAAATGCTGGTATGATTTGTTGTACATACTAGCCATACATGTACTTCTTCAATTTTCTCAACTATTTTGCTGTCCAAAAGAGCCATTTACCCTTTCTACATACAATGTAAATGTAGCTACAATTTTGTTGGAAACAAATAAAGGACAAAATGTGCAAACTATATAAATGTATGAATTAAAAAAAGAAGAAAACAAAAAACAAAAGGAGGCGGCAGGAAAAAAGGAAGCTGGCGGGGACAAGAAACTGGTGTATTTTTTTTACTTGGCCTAAAGTACACTGCAGGCTAGGCTTTCAATAAAATCATTGCATGCTTCTACATGTACGCTTGCACTATACATGTGGTTCAACTTGTGCAACAGTAGTGCATGCCATAACTGGGATTTTCTTGGCACAAGCAGGAAACTAGACATGTAGACCCCATACAGAGGAACTATTTTCCCAAGTTATAGAATTACAGACACTGTTCTTGGTGCTTTTACGCTGGACACCCCATGACTACATTTTTTTACCGAAAACCAAGGCCTCCGCCCTCCAGTCATTCTGTATGTGTTCAATATGAAATCTTGAGATACTGTGGCCATTCGTAAGTTTACTCAACAGAAAACAACATGTTACCCTACTGAGTGAATGGCTAGTGGTAATCAAAAGGACATGTGTACATGTACATACAGTATGTAGACAACACGTGTACGCTACTGTAAACTACCCAGGAAGTGTTCTACTCCTAAATCTAATCATTCTTTCGAATATGGATAACTAATGGAAAAGGGTAGGGGACTCTTGTGTTGAGTGCAATTGTGGTGAACAGGTGGTAAAGCTACGCAAGTATGTACAACATGTATGCTCTGCCAAAGGAAACCCCCTTTTAAAGGTAATATTCAACATTTGCACACATCAAAAACAAAACTACCAAATTATTATGAAAAAAAATACATGTTGTACATTGTACGTTGCTTCACTGTAAGTGAATAACAGCCTCAAGCATCCTGTGAGATCATGGTACATGTACCTGGCGTGCTGTAAACTGGAATATCTGTATCAACTTCCAACGATGGTCAGCCGACTGACTTTTCCAAATACTGCCCCAAATTTAGTTACTCCACATTTTGTTTGCAACATCAGTGGACGGGTGCAACCCAGCTAGCCTGGTTCCCTGAACCGACAATTCCCCAACATCTACACGTATAAATTGCTCCGTTTCGTTTTCAGGGAACCAGACTACCACAACAGTATTTTTTTCTTCTTGGTTTTTCCAGCGTCTATGAACACAAAACTTTAAACAGTTCAGTGTACCAATATTTGCTATAAAATGCTAACCCCCAAATCCATCCATTTCTGAAAATTACAGCAAAAGCAAAATGTTGCATATTACCTCTAAGTTCTCATTTTCTAGGTCATGATACCGAACCGCTACATGTACAATGCCAAAACTCATACCGTAACAAGTGCGCAACATGTTTTACTGAAATGAAAAAAAACGTTGAACCTATAACCACTACCACCACTACCACCACTACCACCACCAGTGAGCGCTATGATAAGTGGTGCAGTCAGGCAATTTTGGGGGAACGGGGCAACAAAATAAAGAATCCTCAGGTCGCCGCCTTATGTACAAATGTACGTACCTGACAAACACTTTTCCCATAACGACGTGGCCTCGCAAGCTGAACCGAATAAAAGCCACAAGACCACTGTGAGGTTCTTGGGAGGTTAATTGAGGAGTGGGCGGTGGATCTGGGGAAACCGCAGTGGGCCACCCTCACGACCCAATTTTATAGTGCTGTGTTTTAGTATTCGATCGTTGGGACTTGGATTCGATTGAATATTCGAATACAATCAAACTTTGACATTGATGAGAAAACTTTAAATGAATATCGTGGACGTATCAATTAGGTGACTAGCTGATGTTGGACAAATATTAAAGATCAAATTTGGGCTTTAAAAACCACTGAATTGTATACCAATAAAGTTACATCCTGAACAGTTTTTGGTCATCTTTTCGAGATGGGTCACATTCTTCAGGTATGTGAGGCGTTCTGGCAAAATGAGACGGAACTGGGCAGAGGTCGAAATGAGGGTTTGGGGGTATTATATAAGAGATAAAAATTCTATACTGTTTATTGCACATCAGACATTCCAAAGACAAGTTTTGCTGTGTAAATTTCACATTAATCAACATGTCAAAAAAGTAAAATACTGAGAAAAACGCGAGTTTTGTATTCTTGAAAATGGAAGATGCAGATTGTTTTTCCGGAAAGATTTCCATATACGAAGTTCACTAATTTTCCTCTGTATTGACTAACAAGCCCCCAGATAGCAATTTCATGTCATCAAAGTCAATTTGAGCAGTGAGAAAATACAAGCATTTTCTTAGAAAACACTTAGAATTGTTCAGTCCAATCTCATAGGGTTTGTACACAGGGTGTTGAGTGAACTTCGTATATGGAAATCTTTCCGTTTTTTCCTTAAACCCTAACCTTCCCAAATCCTAGTTGCAAAATGGAGGATTTTGCAGGATTGAGGCTACATGTATACGGCAAAAGGTGCGGCTGATTTTGGAGGATGCACCGTGTGGTCTTGGGCAGGATCTTGCATTATTTTTGCTTTAAGCACAAATTTAGGCCTTTATACTTTTAATCCTCCGCACTTGTCCAGTATGTCACTGGCTCTGTCTCAACATATTGACAGTGATTGCTGGAGGATTATGCAGGATTGAGGCAGTGGTCACCCCTCCAAGGACCACATTCAAGAAATAACGGAGGATTTTGCAGGATTGAGGCTCTATGCAATTTTGACATGGAGGCAGTTGGAGGATTTTGCAGGATTGAGGTTGCATCCTAGCAAAAATGCCTCTGGAAATTAGGGTTAAAAAACCCTTTTATTCCACAATTTTTATACTATTTCTATAAATATGTGTAGTAGGCATACACGTATCAACGATTACAAATATCAATCAATCTGAAATCTGAAAATTGAAGACAAAAAATTACACGCATTTAAAAAAAATTTACAATATTTTTCTCCACTATTAATTAAGACCTGTGCCCACTTCCTTCTCATTTTGATAGAACGCCTCACATTTCTAGTTGGTAAAATGCTATTTGGAAGTTTGGTGATAAACCGAATGCTCGGAAATTTGGCATTTTTAATACAGCCCTATGAAACACAGTTCATCAGAAAGAGGACAGTGTACCACAACACAAGGTTGTTGCTAAAGTTTGTTCACATTTGGCCAATGACAGCAAATATGCAAGCAATTCTATGTTTGCACCTGGAGGTCAAGGTTGCCTTGATGTTTTGCTTTCTGTTCTGCCCTCCTTTCGCACAACTGAAGTGAAAAACTAAGTTTATACTGGGGTCATGTTTTACAAGAAATTTACTCAGGGGTTCGAAATGGGTAGCTTAAAGTTCAATTCCGAGATCTTGGTATTGAGATGATAAACAAAAAGATAAGAATACATCAACTGTTTACAAAAACATTCATAAGTACATGTATTATACATGCATGGCATACTACCGGCACATGTAACTTTGTAAGTGATTAACTGAAAACTGCCCAATCGATTAAACAAAAACAAATTGGATGAAATTATGGTAAACATTTTTGTTTTGGAAATATTGGACAGTAGGCCTATACATTTTGTACATTTAGGAATATCTATATGGAATAAACTTGGCTAAACTTCAAAATCATTTGAAATGTTCGTAAAACTTTAATTCTTGCATACATACGAGCCAGACTTTCAGTACAGCCAAAAAATAAAAAAAATAAAAACGAAATCGCAATTTAGGATCGGAAGATCACTGAAGATGTATTACTGATACTCACATCTGGGCCATGACATCATTCAGGAAGATGCCATCCACGAGATCCATATAATCCAAACTGCCATCTTTAAATGTCGTCACCTGTGTGAGAAGTAAAGACAAACATTACCAATCTCAATTTTACACTTGGTTTTTCCCCTTTGCCGACATACATGTATAACATGTCGCATTGGCTACTATTAGGGCAGTTGACCATTTGGTTCCCTGACCTGATAGTATTCAACTTCAAGATCTTTGGCACTTGGAACCAGACTATCAACCGAATGGTTCTCGGACTTCATTTTCCTTTAAAAAAAAAAATCCTTCATAGCCATGGATTACTGAAATCTAATTCCATAAAAAGTAGGATTTTTAATATTTATGAAACTATTAAAAGAAAAACACAAAGATACTCAGATGTAAGATAGCAGATGAAACACGCGTTACGGCTGCTGTAATGACAACCATTACGATAAAATTTACATCTCCCCGACGCAATTCCATCGGACAAAAATTATCAATTTAGCTGTTAGTGTTTTGCCACAACTATACTGGGCCATTGCTATATCAGTATATGCGGGTGCGGACATCTGCCTTTTTTTTTTACTTTTACATTGGCTTGTCTAGCTCCCAGACCTCAATGTTCTTGAAACTCAATGGTACTTGAGTCTGCATGCTAAACAGCATTACACCTAGCAACCAATGAATGGTGTGCAAATGAAAGATGTTTTCATCGGATGACGTACATGTAGATGAACATATGCAATATTTTTAAACCAAGTCTTAAATTAATCATGTTAACTGTAATCAACATTGACGTTTTCTTTGCTTTTACAATTCAGAAAGTCAAAAAGTGTACAGAAATAGTTAAACTCAACATTTTAATTTCTACGGTACATGGAAAGAATGTAGTGTCCTGACGTCACATTAGCTTTTGCAATGACAGACCTTTATTGAGATGATATATGAAGAAAAAAGTGGCGTCAGGTTGCAACACTAGACACAATGACCATGATGACATCCCTTTATTATTTTTGAAATAATAAAAATAATTGATTTAAATAAGAAATCTACTTACCCACACAACCAGAGGGTGGGACATGAATTCCTCTAATGCTGCCATGGTTGACATTGTCTCAGATTGTATACATTTCTGTTGTTGAAGTTGAAGTTGACATCGCAGTATCACAGACTTAAAAATCGATCATTTGGGTTGCACTACACAGTCCACAGTTGTTAGTCAATGTTTTTCATCAACTCAACTACACCTAATTCATTATTAAAAATTACAATATTCCCCTTGCGTGTCACAACAAACAGCCAAACACTGTTTTGCCACCATCCATGCACCAACAACAGGCGAAGAACTAATTACATGGTGCTGAACAACTGCTGAACATAATGAATCATCGACAATAAACACGGTCTGGTCTCACACACTCGGCCGTGCCGATGGCTGCAGCTGGCCGCCGTGTGTGACTGTATGACTAACCGTCAACGTACGCTGCGGGCTGGGCGGTGGGTGGTGGTCAGACAAATCGAACAGGTTTCCGGCACCTACAAGCCACTAACTCCTCCATCTGTACAGTACCGAAGACGCAAAGCTTCTCTTGGGAAACAAAACAACTGCTTTTCCTGATTGTCGAATCAAAAATTAAAACATTTGTCCGGATTTCAGTGTCATAAAAACCGAAAGTATCGGGAACGGAGTTCTGTGTGTTATGTATTGGCTATATCGGCACCTAGACCGATTGGCCGTGTTTACTTACGGTGATCTTTGTTATAAATGCAAGGGCATCCGACTGCCGCTTCGGTTTAAATTATCACATAGAGGGCGCTATTTATATTTGACAGTTATTCTAGAACTACATATCAGAACCAGAAAAATTACCAGAGCCTTGTCCGGATTTAACATCCTTCGCTTTAAATCTACGGTTTACAGAGTAACAGACCATTATCCATTTTACGACACGAGGGCAGTGGCGGATCTACCCCCCCCCACTCGGGCCGCTATAAAATAATTTTTAACTTGCAGAAGGAAGTTGCAGAAAATAAGTAGCCCATGTCTGTAAACCTCCCTTGAGATCTAACCCCCCCCCCCAGCCAAGGCCAGATCCGACCCTAGAGGGTCATTGTTCGACGTTCGGCGTTGGGAAGGGGGGAGGGGGAGGTTGAGGGAAGGGGGGGGGGATTACGGAAAGATAGAATAGGCCTAAGGAGACAATTAAGACCGTAACGGTTCCAAGCCTTCAATATCCTTGCGTATGACGCCTGTCCAATGAAACTGTATCTCGAGAAGACGTCTTTTCCCCACAATTATCTTAAATTTCATGATATTATGATTAGGACTACAATGATGTTTTACACATCTTCCCCGAACTGGACTTAGGTATCTACTTCATGTACTTCACTTGTACCCCAGTACCCCACCCCACCGCATAAGTTGTAATGCGCCCTCTATCGATGATTTGCTAGTAATTACTGGCACCTTTAATTCCTTGTGGAGCAACATTTCTTTCTCCGGACGGTGTAGTTTAGCTCAAATACGGCTGGCTGATTGGTCTATAAGTCTGTAAGAAGCCTATTTCATTTTGAAATCACACTCAAAACAAATTCCTGTGAGCGCAATTTTGAAGTCAACTTCCCGAGGAGCAACACCGTCTTCGTCCGTGCGATAGGTGAAGAACTCAGGGCCTACTGGTGTAATTGGATTCAAATATGGTTTGTAAGAAGCCTATTTTAATTTGGCATGGAAAGCCCAAACATCAACAGAATCACACTCAAAACAAAAATGCCTGTGAGCGCAATTGCTTGAGACATAACTGCTATTTTGAAGAGTTTAGTCAACTTCATCATCAGGAGCACACTCGTCATTGTCCGGGCCATTGTTCTCTAACCTTGAAACCAATTGGAGGTTTTGAGGCCTGCACAATTAAAATCTTGGCATTTCAATCCAACAGGGGAAAACAATTATCGTATGGTGAACGTGTTGGAAACAATAAGTGGGGTTATTTTTTTGAAGAAATCTTGTATATGGCAGAATAGTTTGATTGGTAAAGTAGTGCATGTTGGAGATACAGCATTTCATTGCTTTAACGTTATGAGATTTTGGTACATTATGTATGCTATAATTGTGGGACATACGTTATTCTATCGAGTAAACAAGCTCAGAGGGACTAGTTTTTTACTCGCAGGATACATCATTTGATATTCTAAACGGTTCACCCATTTAACTTGAATCTTGTACAAATGAAAAGCGCACCCTTACATTACACAAAAAAAAGACTTTTGGCCACAAATTAATGCGAGATACATCATTTCTCCAAATTACGGCCGTACAGATTATTAGATGCTGAAGTCTCTCTCTCTAGATGTTTAAGTCCAGAATTTCAAATTGTTAAATACATTTGTCATCCACGCTCCAAGATCTCATGACCCCTTTAACACTCGCACTGAATAAAATATCGTGCGTCAAATTTATTCCATGGAGCCGATCTGCGTTTTAAGCCCAAACACTCTCTTAACCCCATCAGAAGACAACTAGACCGGAACCTCATTTGAAATGAATTTAGAATTTTTTTTAACGGACCGTTATCCGCTTCCATCATCGCGGATGGGGAAGAAGCTGCTGTTGTTTTATGCATAATGGCGCGCTTCTTTTCTGGCAAAACAAAAGCCTATTTCCTTGAAGAATTTGTCACCGTTCAGGGATCATTTGCAGCGCTCGTAGAGGTTATTATATTGGTCAGAAAATAATACGGGTCTGATTTGACGGGGCCGTATTATAAGTCCGACGCCTCATAAGTCCGACAATGGACAAACGCTGTTTCGGACTTATGAGGCGTCGGAGCTATGAAGCGTCGGACTTATGCGGCGTCGGACCTACCTATATGATGCGGAATTTATGCCTCATAATAAGTCCGACGCCTCATAGTACGTCCGACGCCTCATAAGTCCGAAATTTCGGACTTATGAGGCGTCGGACTTCTAAGCGGACCCCGATTTGACCAGACACCTTTTCGGGTCAAAATGACACTTCTCTGGGTCACTTTTCCGGGTCATTCGATCTAAAAATAAAAATAAAAAATAGTGTCGACCGAGAAAAGTTACATTTTTACACGAAATTGTTATTTTGACCCAGATGATGGTAAGGTCAAAGTGACAAGGATTCCGGGTCGAACCTGACGCGGTCCTTTCAAGATTGTGGTTATACTGTCTTAATCTACAATTCATTATTGGTGCATAAATAATTATAAAACCCACAAGTCTGACTTTTTCTGAACAAAATATCTGAAATATGAGCTACTTACCATTGTCATTGATATACTGGCTTACCAGTCAGCAAAGTCCCTTTAAGTAGTAACTCCACATCGCTCCTCTTCAGTGACGGAAAAGTGCAGGCGACCTTAACTTTAAGCATAAACCTTCACCATTGTCAACATCTCTATTTGCGCGTTTTTATCACTAATTTACAAAGTCGGGCGTAAATGGTGCATACTATGTAGGTGCGCACATTTATCATTCCCACACACACTTAAAACTATGGCTTGCAGTGTGTAAGGCTAGGATATGCCGGTACATCAAATGATAATTATCCTGTCTTGTTGCCTTGGAGACATTTGGAGACAATCATTTTGCAAAACATGCTGTTTTGTTCACTGGTGAGTCATTTAAACATCAGCAGTCCAACATTTTCCATAACATTTGGGATTTAGCTCAATGCATCCATACAATTGTTTTTCCACCGATTTCTAAACCTAATAAATCTAAGTTCATTCCCCGGTTTCATCACATAGAGCTTCCCAAGCTGCGTCAGTTTTCATATCTAAAAGTTCCGATAACATGATTAGAATTTCAAATGAGTCCATTTAAAAGTTTGGAGAAATTGCTTGATTGAAATTGGGGAAACCCAACCCGTTGTTGTGTCGTCCTCATGTCCATCACAATAATATGTGGAGTCCCCTAACGCCTTTCAACTTGTTTTGATTCTCTCCCCCGAGTTATTCTAGGCTACCCTGCTTTCTCAACATGCATAGACCGCGCGAGTTACGATTCTTTTCTTTTCTCAGTACGTTATGGCTTCGCTAATAACCACTCGGTGATGAAACAATCACCTCCGGACAGCTCCAACGCGAACCAACGGCGTCGCTCATGCAAATTATGTGCCGGTCCCTAAACTGCCCACAGTACGAGGGAAGTATAACTGACTGGGCTATTTTTATAATTTTTTTTATATATTTCGAGCAAATTGTGACTTTTCTTGTTGAAAGTCACTCTTTTTTTCTTTTTTTAAGAATTTGAATTAATGAGTCCATTTTAAAGTTTCGAGAAAATGCTCGAATTGAAATTACTGAAACCCAAGCCGTTATTGTGTCGTGCTTAAGTGTCCATCACAATAATATGTAGAGTCCCCAAACGGCTTTTGGTTCACTTGCCCTTCTCCCCGAGTCATTCCACATACATAGTCAGTGGCGTAAATCCATGTTGGAGCATAGGGGATGGAGGGTGACCAAAATGCCAAAAACCTCAAATTGCCCGGCCGTGGAAATTCGAAAAGCGGAGGAGGGAGAGGGTGACACCACGTGGCATTAGGGGGCGCTGTTCAAGATACAAATGTACATGTAATGCAAACTTGCGCGCTTAAGTTACTTAAACTTACATTAAAAAACCCACACACATTATTTACATTTTCAAAACTATTCAATCAATTTGAACTGTTGAAAAGTTACTAGATAATCCCGAAATCGGCATCATTTTTGTTTCTCACTTCAAAAATCTCGGGGAAATGTCAGAAAAAGTATTTCAAAAGGCATCTCTGGTGATCTGCAAGTTCGGTTATTTGCAAAAACGTTTGCATCGTTTTCTATGTGTGCAAAACAATGAATATCGTTTCCAGTTAATGGAAAATTGTGGCAACTTCTACAGCGGCCAAAAATTTGTACATTCAACATTCTCCACTGTTGGTAATTCCCCCAAACTGTCAATTCTTTCCCCTAACTGTCAATACTTCCCCTTAACATAAAATAAACTTAGGTCCCCTTCTTTCCTCACATGTACACTGATTTCCCGCTCCCTTTGTCCCCCTCCCACCCCCCTTCCCGGGCCCACTAATGTAAAAGTCCAAACAATCGGTTTAGCAATGTACGACGTGCCCAAGATAGCAATTAAGCAAGCATCACAATAGGCGTTTCAAATCCATCGGAAATTTTACTCATCATTTCTAAACCTCCATGGCTGCCTCTTTTTTTGTCTTGCTCGCGTTTGTCTGCCTCGCTTTTGTTTAACCCACCAATTGTCTGGCTCGTATGTCTAGCACGCTTTTGTGTGGCTTGATTCACAAGTGAAAATATCGTGCCCGTTTGGACACCCAGGCCAGGTCAACGTCTAGGAATAAGTGAATACTTAGCAGGACAGTTGACGAACTGTCACGGGTTTTATTTAAAAAAAAAAAAAAAAAAAGATTTTCTGTGTTCCTCTTCTTCGTCTAGGTCGCGTTTGCCTGTCTCGCTTTTGTCTGACTCGTCTATTGTCTGGCTCGCGTATGTCTGGGTTCGCATTTGTATGGCTTGATTGACAGTTGAGCACCTCGGTCCCACTCGGACACCTGGCGCAAGTTTCTAGGTTCCTGATCGGTCCCATTCCAGGGACAGACCAGGATCAACGTATAGGCTAGGAATAAGTGAATGCTTAGTGGAAGGGTCGCGTCGACGAACTGTCATGGGTCTTATAAATTAGCTTGTGGATCTTTGATTCACGTATTTCTGGAACTCCTGTCTGCATTTTCTTTGT